CTATGCTGTTTTATTCTATTTTAGGGGGGTTTTTTGTTTCATAATTAAGAGTATTTTCAAATCCACAACTGGCATTGCCAAGTGGTCACTTGTTATGAAACTTGTTTACCCTTCTGGTCTACCAGCACAAAGATTGCAATTCATGAAATACAGATTTTTCTATGAAGACTTGTTTCTTGAGGGAAAACACAGACGAGAATGAAGCATAAACATATGTAAAGGATTTCACACTAGAAGTTGAAAACGAAGACATTTCCAAGCTAACTGGAATTCATTTTAGTCTATGCTTTTAACTAGCAGGAAGAAAGTAGAGAGGAAAAGAACAGAAACAAAACACAAGACGCAAACCCCTGATATCTATGGGACTAAGAACAAGTTAAAAACTGAGCCTCCTCCTCCACCTTAGCTTAAGCATGGAGAGAAGGCTCTCAGTGAATCAAAGCATTTGGAGTAAACAGCATTTCAGCCCTGTGGAAACTGCTGGCAATCAGCTACCAGCAGACAGTCGGTCTCAGGCCCTTCTTCTGCCTCTCATTTTGTTCCTCCTCCCCTCTGAAACCTGCACAAGAATCCTGAACCTTCTAAGATCAACCAACAAGAGAAGTGATTTAGGTATGCCAGAGTTAAGGCTCAGAACAATACAACACATTGCAACAGGACACACAAAAGCACCTTATTGACTTGGCTCACAGACAGGGTATTTCTTACCCTTCACTTGTTTAGGAGCTGCTGCAGCTCTGGATTTACCACACTGGACTGCCTTTCCCTGTTTGAAATTTCATTTCAGGTTTCCCCCGTTGAGCTCTTCTGCATCTCCCACTCACCACACACCAGTCTTTACATGCGAAGCCAACTCTGTGCTCAATACTACAGCCATTATCACAGTGGCACACAAACCTGCACTAGATACACTACACAAAAACTGGAGCTCCCAGCACATCCGCTCTGTGAGCTTTCTCCTGCAAGAATGTTCTCCCACATGTGTCCCACAGCTTCCCAACACTGAGATGCCTCCGCTGCCCACAGCAGGCTGTGGTCAGGGTTTTTAACTCATGGGGACAGGGATGAGGATGTTCCTTCTTTTGTTGGTTTGTTTGCTGGATCATGATATGAGGCTTTTAATTATTAGTTGTTTTTCTTTTCCAGTGGGGGAAAAGCAGATGCAGGCAATGAGGCTGCTGTCCTGCAATGAAGTTACACTTCCTCACTTTAACACAGGCTTTCTATGTTACCACATGCAATCTGCTTGGCCATTCAGTGTCTCAGTTACCCTCCCTACCCTGCAGAGATGCTGGGAAGCAAAAAAACATACTAAAGACTATAACAGTGTCAGTTACTACAGTAATCAGGACTTGCTGAAAAGCTCAGTTTATGACCAACACTAAGTAGGATGATGCATCCGTGACATTAAGTGGATACATCAGTCCCCAACAGTACTTGTTCAGCAGCAACAACAGTTTATACATAGCAGCAGAGCTGATAGTTCCAACCCCCTCTAGACCAGGTCAAAGCCCTGTCCGACCTGGCCTTATGCATCTCCCTGCATCCTTCCCTGCTTGGACCTTTGGTATCTTTTCCAGTACCTAATGATACCCTAACTCAAGCAGTATCTAGTGCCATCACACATCTGACTGCCACGTCAACTGACCTTAACATGTGATGAGACAGCGTCTGAAACTATTCTGCATAACAGAGTGCCTTTGGTACAGAGGAAAACTCCAGCTATGGAGAATTTGAACCACATCCTTTAGAAATTTAAGTACTGTAACAGTGTCAGTAAAGCAACAGTTAAATAACATTTTGGTTCCTTTTCACCATGGCAAACAGAAGCTTAGTTGGACAATGTAACCTGCTTTGTCCTTAGGCTGACAAAAGAGTCACTGAGAGCAAGCACAGCATCATCTCCTGTCTAATTCTTATATCTCAGTAGCATATTTTGATACTTGAAGTTATGACAGATCAGCTCAGATGTAAATCTGCTTCTTATGACTTGAAATTACTTCCCTTAAAGTAACCCAGTCAATAGTTGGGCCACCCCATCCCATCCTTCAGAGCAAGCACAGAAATACAGGTATTTTGTCCTTTGAGTGACTGCTAAATCTACATTTAGCCACATCTTCAGCTTAAAAAAAGCTGCTCCCACAAATTTACAATCAGAATTCCTTTATTATGTACAGATATAAAAGCTCACATTTGAACAGTACTGTTCACTATACATATTCGGCATTTAAGGCTGATGATAAAGACAGTGTAAGAGGCAGATTGCTCCAGTAATTATGTAAAATGCAGCAGGCATTTCACTCTGCAAGTTGTAAGCTTTTATTTAGGTAAAGTCTTTCAGCATACAGAGGATTTTCACACACAATGGAGATGTAGGAGGTATTTATATTCTATTTTCTTTAATTTCTCATCTAAAACCACCTTATGTTGTTGAGGGTTTTTTTAAATGGGATTTCCTTTGAAAGCTTTGCTAAAACACTTGACTTCATTTTGGCAGCAAATGTAATCAAATCACTTCTGTTTCTGCTTTTTACGCCTCCATACACCACCAAAACTATTGACAAAGACAAGACAAAAGACATTTAAAATCTGGTTTTGTTCTTACATTAGCTTTAACAGCATTATTGTTACTCCTTTCAATCAGGCCCATGATGGACTTCACCTCAAGTCTCCTGGGGACCATATGAAACTGTGAGGACTTGGGATGAGGATGAGGCCTCCAAGCCCTCAAGTGAAGCAGCGGAGGTTCAAGGCAGGCAGAAAGGCTCAGTGTGCTCCGTGAGTGAATCAGCCTTTCCTTCATCCACCTGAGCCATCCCCAAGCAGTGGCTGCACTCCCAGGGATGTGCAACACATCTCACATTGCAGGGACAAACTAAAGATGCTCAAAGCTGGAAGAGAAGGATGAGTTTCTGCTTACAAGAGTTTCCTTGCAGAGCACTTGCTAACGCCTGGGCCTGGGTGTTTAAACAAGGGCTGGTCTCCCACACAGTGTCTCTTGTTCATGGCTAATCCTGCTGCGAGGTCAAGTAACGCCAGCTCTGAGTCACCACAACCATCTCCAAGGCAACTGGCTGAATATACAGTGTAAACACATGATTATAGATTCACTGTTGAGTTCAGGAAGGAGGAGGAGGAGGAAGAGCTCTGCTGAAATAAGTCATGCTCTTGCTGAAATCAGAGCAGTCAGTGCTGAAGCAACACTGAACAAATGAGCTGGTGCCAGTGGAAGACATCAAAAAGATTGCTTTTCCCCCCCCCCTCTTTTTCTTCTCTGCATCAATCCCTTCACCACTGAAGTCTCTTTCTCAGGTAGTCTCTCCAAAACAAGGTACAAATACAGAAGAGAATGTTACCCAGACGCTTACTTCACATCTGAGATCTCACCTCTCTCCTTGCACCATGGCTCCAGACAGTGCAATCTGGCAGAAATGGGACTACCTTTCCAAGAAGCCTGTTAAATATCTGTCTGATGCGAGCTGTATTTTGGGGCAGCACCCATCCCTATCTAGCATCCCACACCACAAGATCATGACTCCAATAAAGGAACAATTGAAGGCAATTCCCTCCTTTCCCTTTGAATCATTAATGGAGTCAGATTTCCCACTAACAGCGAATAAAGGAGCCTGAGGGAGCCCTCCCAAGTGACTCAGTTGTACTTGGGGCTTGGCTAGCAGAACAAGCAGAGCACAGGGCATCATCCCAGGTACTGCCTGGCAGCCACATCCACTGCTGCTCCAACGATGTCAGGGACAGCGGTGATAAGAAAGCATCGCTCCTGCCCGGAAATCCCGGTTCCCGCACAGGCTGAAGGGGAACACTGAAGTTTTTCAGTTCCTTTCTTGGCGACACAGCCATGGTCCCGAGGGGAGGTGAGGTCATTGCAAGCGGGGCTGGCAGAGCCTTGTGCCTGCCACACAAAAGCAGGGAAGGAGTCACCTCTTCTTCTGCCTCCTCTGGGAGAAAATAAGCACTAATCTGATTGATTGCATGGGGCTCTGGTCGTCAGTAACCATAAAAAGACTTCTCTTCCCAAGCCAACTAACAACCCAAACAGCACAAAAGGAAGAGGAAATGAAAAAAACACACTGGCCAACTTTTAGCCACTCATTCCAGAAGGAAAAACTCCTTAGCCCAAATTTCAATCCACGGGAATCTCTCATAAAACAATAGTTACAAGACAGATAAAAAGCAAACCTAAGAAACACACTTTATTGCTGAAGCTATACTGTGTACAGTGAAAATGTCAGGCATTTTTCTCACACTAGTATCAATGTGCTGCATAGCAACAAGTCAGAATGAAAGGTTAATGGTAAGGCCCGCAGCCTGGAACACACTCATTCCCACGGTCCTGAAGTCACCAAAGGGAAATGCTGCACCGACCTGTTTTGTTTTGTTAGCAGTCAAAGGCTTAAAGAGAGCGGTGGGCTTTAATGCGACAACCCACCCCATCCGAACGGGTTATGCTGGAGGGATGGCACTAAGCACCAGCACTGCCTGCCACTGCAAGAGTTTCGGGAAGTCTGTGTTGGCTCTGATTTAAGGGAAAAGGGTTCTGTTTCACCAGGCCTACAGCAAAAACCTCACAGAGTCAAGCAGAGCAGATCCTAAGCGTAGCGACCTTATATGGCTTATAGTCTTATATATAGGTTATAAAGCATTTGGCTAACAGCTTCTCTAACCTAGCAAATGTGTCTTCCATTACCTTGCTTGCATTTAAAAACTTGCTTAACGTGTAAATTTAACTCTGTAATTTCTCTAATGGAATTCCAGAGTTACACATTAAGTAACTGCAATCTCAGAGTCATGCAATTCCAGCAAAATCAAGCGAGAGAATTTTAAGAGGCAAAAGCAGTCATGCAAACCACACATTATACTCTCCATGAATGTGAAAATAAGCAAAAAGACAGCCAAGAAAACAGCATGATGCTGAAGTCCACTCGAACGAACCAAATTCCATAGACTGACACACTGATATGCAAAGAAAGGCAATTGCTTACCAGGTGAAATGGTCTCCAGACTCCCAGGATTTATCTTTCTTGTGCTTGTGCAGTGTTGGACAGTTGACCCAGTGAAGACCAAGTAAAAAACTACATCATCTTCAACTTTATCTTCCTCAGTCAGCTGCACTGTTATTACAGAGTCACCCTAGAAAAAAAGGACAAGAAACAAGGTTAGGTTTATATTTGTGGGAACTGCATCATATAAAATAGAACTTCTCTCCCTACAAGGCTCCTGCTCCCTGTTTGTGTGCTCCTTTCACACAACTCAGGTCCATCTTAATTTTACATATTCAAGTCATCCTTCGCATGCTTCTCAGCATCCTAGCCAGCCAACCAGCTAGAAAATATGCTTAATGCAGCTCTAGGAAGAGATGCATAGAAACGTCAAGGGTATATTCCAAATATTAACTTTATCTTGTGAAATCACACCAAGTCATAAGCACACACCCCATACAGGGGGGTTTTATACACATATACACATGTATACACGTATCTCCCTATATATGCATACCTAAAACAACAGAATGAGGATAGCGGTCTAAAACTGCTTCTGTCTTGGTAAATTTGAACAAGTTCCCTAAATCTTGCTTCACTGTTCACATTTCCCCTGTCCAAGACAGCCACAGCGCTGATAGTTCCAGTGTAGCCAACTTAATCACTTGAGCACATCCTATCCATCATCCATAAACACACACAAAAATATGGAAGTTTCATGTACCAGATTTCTTTTGCCTTCCTTACAAAAAGAACCCCAACAGCTGGCTGTATAGACAGTGGTATCTCTTCTCACTCATCTATAAGCTCACACCTTGGTGAAAAGCTTATGTTCTCAAAACCAGCAGTTCTTAAAGCCCTAAAAAGACACCTGCCATGATACATTGGCTGAACACTCCTGCTTTGGTTTAGGGAGGCTTTGTTTCAGTATCTTGGTATATTCGATCATTTTACTCATCTTTGCTGCAATCAAATGGCATTCCTGAAGGACACACATGGTTATCGCAGTTAACCCAGGACAGAACACAGTAAATACACCTACAACTCATACACCTGCATAGACAAGAACACGAGCAATATCTTCCAGTATCCTTCCATTTTCCATGAGGAAGGGAAAATAAAGAAAGAGGATGGCTTGCATTTAGTACAAGACTAAATGGAGTATTTCCATTTGGTCTCACCATACAGCATTTATCTGCCTGAGGAATTACATAAACTACAACACTGAGAACAACAGGCTGCAACATGACCTTCTGCCCCTTTTCTATCAAAATCAAAACCAGTTGGATGCCCCAGTTTTACACTGCAGCTGCATTAGCCAGCTCTCTGCCACCACCCCATTAAGCATATGGTTAAGGCTGCAAATCTGGAAATGATGTTTTTATTATTATTATTGCAGATTGCATAACTCTAATTTGTATATCCAACAGAATACACATGTAGATTCATTCAAAACCTTCCTCTGGAGCTCACTCCATTCATCCCTTCTCTTTGTCACATACAACTATTGCAGAAAAACCCCAGGCTTCCAAGCTCTCCTGTACGCCAATGCGTGTAAGCATCACTTCCCATGCTCCGTCTCCCCCTGTTCTCCCTCATCTCAGCTCCTTTTACACCCCCATCACAGCTTCCTCCTCCAAGTTCATGTCCAGTTATCTGATCCAGCCTGTCTGGGACCTATTGCCAGGGGCAGATCTGCACCTTGTTTTGATAGAAACAAGGTTTTGCAGTGCAGTACACAACCAGCCCTTGGTATTAAGAAGAAATACATGGGTAAGGATTATAAGACACAAGAAAGAAAACCAAGAATGCCAAACAGATAAATGAAGCAGTAAACATAGTTTGTGTTTCCAGAGGCTGCAGTTACAAATGTACATTTTAGGAAGGTCTCACGTGATAATACCAGACCAGGCTCCCAGCTGGGGAGAAAGGAGCTGTGTAGCATATCTTGTCTATAGTCAGTGTTAGAATGAAAACAGGTGCAAAAAGAAATAAATCAAGCTTTAAATTCAAGCATGACCAGTTCACATGCTGAGTTGGAAACTAAATATTCCATTTCAAGCAAATGGATCCAGTTTTGAGCGGATGTTCAAAAAACAAAAGTTGGAGCTTTAACCCACAAATCCTTTGTGCTTTGGTTTTTACATCCATCTTTGTTCAAACTGTTTCTCCCATAAGGCATCAACATATAAAGTACCTAAACAGGCTTGAAATGCAGGTAACATTTCAGGATGCCCATCAACAGGGCTGATTGTTTAAAGAGGTATCTGGTAAAGGAGAGTTTTCTTTCATTTAACTCAAATCAAATTCAGCTACTGCAATTCTGGTGAAACTAAAGCCAACCCGCACAAGGTGCACGTGAGAAGGCACATGTCTGTCCATGTGAGCTACTCACATTTCAAGGGAAAGCAAGTTAATTTGCAGCATTACTGCAAAGTCTAATTATTGCAAAGTCCAGTTATTGACAAAACCCCATGAAAATACATATAAGAAATCTCAACACCAGAGATTCCATGTAACCTGAAATCTGGCTAAGCCGGGATTTTAAAAATGATAGCTGAACTTCCTATACAGAAGAAACATATAGATAAATAGATAGATAGAACATTTATATACCTGATGTAATTTTGAAGGTGGCCCTGCTTTGGAGGGTGATCAGGTCAGGTGACCTCCAGCCATCCTTTCCCACCACACTGTACCACTCTTTGTATGTTAATTCAGTTTATTACAGTTACTGTTTAAGTCAAGGGGAGCACAAATTATCATCAGCTGATATCAGGTTAAGAGGCTCTTCAGCTGCAACCAAGCAGCACTTTATAGTGGGATGGTCTCCCGCACCTTGCACCTTCCTTCTCTTCTGGAGGACACTACAGCAAAAGACTGAAGCGGAATACCAAATACCTTTATTATAACTGAGCGTGTTCTGTTTGTTTTCTTTTTACTTTAAGTTTTAAGGCGTCTTCCAACACCTTCAGCAAGACCAAGAATGTGCCACCTAATTCTTGTGTGCTTCAGTTTCCTTACAGGTTGTACTGTGCCTGGTACAGCTCACTGTGCATGATGTGATCCGAGACTCCGAAGCAAAAGAGCAAAGCACTAAATAAGACCGTCCTCCTTCAACACACATTCTTCATTTCCCTTTTATTAACAATGTTGTTGTCTACTGCCCATTTTAATTTGATTTTTAAAAGCTATATTCAAATAACATTTATTTGGAAAGGAAATAACATACAGAACAAACCCTTTTCTTCCCAACATTTTTGGAGTTAAAGAAAATCAATTGCAAATGCAGACAAATTCCTCCAACCCACACAGAAGTCTTTCCAACAGCCCTATTGCATTCAGCCTCCAAAAACATTTTAATTGAAGTATGTTTACCTTTATTCATTTAATATTGTCCAAAAAATGTCATCTGTTCAGCATCACTGCCACACAAGGTGGTTATTATAACCCTTCTTTCATCCCGAATGGCCAGCCTGCCAATATCCCTTTGGTGAAAGTACAGACAGATCAAAGCTATTCTCTGGAATGCTCCAACAAATAAGAATAATTTAATTTCAAAACTAGTTTGGATCGACTAATATTTACTTGGCTTAAAGCCCACTGCAAATGAAAACATTCCATTTTGGTCCATTCATGAAAGAGGTCACCCTCTCCCTCGTTCAGATCTGAAAATCTCTGGTTTCAGAGAGCTGAAATGGGACATAAAGAAGGTGGATGTGGTTCTTTAACTCTATTCCCCTCCTCAAACCAAAGGAGAAAGCAGGTTTGCTTTGCCAACGGATGGATGCACTGGAAAGCCAAGCCTGACCTTGGGCTTTAAACTACTATAAAACAATTCAGAAAGGGATTTGAGAGTGGCACGTCTCTGAACCTTGGGCTTAGTCAGGGCAGCAGAAATGCAATTATCCCTAGAAAAGCTAAATGCTGTTACTAGGTCTAAAACCCAACACTAGATTGACAACACACCTGTTTGTCAGCAGATTTTCCTGGCATTAGGACAATTCCACCTTTTTAGGTATTTATTTTTTCAGTGCTGCAGTTAAAGGCATGCGGATTATGTGAAGGCAAAGCTCAAGCAACTGAGTAATCATTTCTTCTTTCTCAGACTTGGTTTCTGTGCATGTTACAGCAAACTATTTACCTTCAAAGGCTTTTCTTTCTCTTAATAAATGGCCTCAGCATTATTTGGAAGTGACGATGAAGCGAAAATCCTTAAGCTCCAAAGAATTAAGATCACTTATATTATTAACTCAAAAATACCATCCACCTTCCATAAAGAAGTAATTGTTTTAAACACGTAAAGACATCTCTCTTTTCCACTTCAGGCTCTGGAAATCTAGGATTGGGGAACCAGGCATCGTATCAGTTCTACCAGCAGCAGGTGGAACTGATATGTGCATTTCTCTACAATGGTCTACAAAGGGGAAAAAAAAAGTATTCTTAGCATGCTGGGTATCAAATTCTAAAGTTTCTAAAAAAAAAAAAAAAAAAAAAAAAAAAAAACACAAAAAAACAACAGAAACCCAAAACACTAAAAAAAAAACCCACCAAAACCACCCCAAAAAAGCCAAGCTATATTTTTATAGCTGAAGCATGCGATTTCTAAACTGGGTTCTCCCCCATGGGTCATAGCGGGAATTCTGAAGTACATTACCTAACCTAGTAACAACCCAACTCTGGCCTCCCCACACACACACAGTCTAAAAATACTTATGAAAATGAAGCATGTATTAGACAGCATTACTTGAGCCTTCTGCTTTTAATGAGAACACACTAGCCACCAGGATTTGTTCCACACAAAAAAGCAGAATTGCTGCTGATGACCACTGCCATCTCTGCCTGTTTTTTCATGCAGGAAGAACATAGCAAGTGCAATCCTACTGAATGGAAAGTCCATGTGTTAAAGACTCAGATGCAAGGAAAGAAACCTGCCTCCCAATGTATTTTCTTCTAAGAGCTGCTATAGACATCAGCGTTATGATGCTTCATTAAAGCGGCTGGATTAGGTGCTGGATTAGATGAGTAAATTTAACTTGCCACTGTAACAAGTTTTGTTTCGTTTCCGCTATTCATAACATGAATCAGATGCTTGTTGGGTCATTGCTTATTGCATTATGCTGGGATACAAAAGGAGAAACTGGCTTTTCA